TCCCTTCCCCTCCCTTCTTCTGGTCCCCTAAGCATCTGAGGGTTTCAGGGTCGGGGCAGGGATTACCTTGAGTTGAGGCTCAGTCAGCTCTAAGGGTTGGCCTTTCCAAATCAGGTGCAGAGGCAGTAGAGCCTGCTACTCTCACCATGGCTTCTGGGTCTTCCTTTAATCACTGCACTGTGCTTAATGCCATAAGTTACTTGTAGGTATATCGTTGGATTCAAAACTCCCACGCGATCACTTGGGTATGAGATGGAAGCCTGAGTCCTCCAGTGAGTGTCCGCTACCTTGAAAAAAATTCCCAGCATGCCCTACGGCCATGGGCAGGCCCAGTTTCAAGGTAGCATCCATGTCCAATGCATCCACATCCAGTGTGAGAGATACCCTTGTGAATATCTCCAGCTTGTGCACTAGTCTCTTATGTGGTACTGCATCAAAGGCTTTCTGGCAATCCAGAAATATGCAGTCTGCCCACCCCTCTCTTTCTTGCCTGATTTTTGTTGCCTGATCATAGTATTCAATTAATACTGTGAGGCATAATATGCCATCCCAGAACCCATGTTGATGTTGTGTTACAAAGTTCTTTCGCTCCAGATGTTTCACTAGCTTTTTATGCACAATCTTCTCCATCATCTTGCATGATATGTAGTTAGGGACAATGGCCTGTAGTTCAGTGCCTCCTTTCTATCACCCTTTCTGAATATCGTGATTACAATAGCCATCTTCCAAATTTTTGGCAGTTCATCTGTTACCAGTGATTTGTTATACATCATGGAGAGTGGCATCCACAGAGCTTCGATTCCTTCCTTAAGTATCCTTTTGTTTCTTTTGTTTTGTATACTAAAAGGAATTTAGTGTTTCTTTTTAAACTTTTGAGATTCTGTGACAAATTCTCGCTCAACAGATCACAGATCCAACCAGGAACGAAAACACACTAGACCAACTATTCACAAACAATGATGAACTAATCAGAGACATTACAATCTCAGATACTACATACTCAAACCATAAACTCATTGAAGTGCAAACTAGCATAAATAATGGTAGTAGGTCTAAGAGACCCAACAGGCGAGAAGGAATATTCAATCAATTCAATTTCAACAATAAGAGGATCGACTGGGAAAAAATAAATGTAGACCTTGCAAACATTCAATGGGAGACGGTCTTAAGCGACAAAACTCCCATATAGGGAATAACTCAACTGACGGCTGAAGCTTACAAGGTCTGCTTGAAGCACGTGCCTGTGAGGAGGGGCAGAAAGAGGACCACTGTAGAAAGAGAACACAGAAGACTGTACAGAAGGAAAAAAATAACGGAAATTCTTAAGCAGACACGACTATCACAAGCAAGGAAAATAAACCTAAACAGGGAGATCGAAGAAATAGAACAAACGTTGAAGCGATCATACGAGTCTGAGGAAATGGAATTGGAACAGAAAGCTATACAAGAGATAAAGAAAAATTTAAAAAATTTTTTCACATATGCAAAATCAAAATAAAAACCTTGACCAGTATTGAACCTTTAATTACAACTGAAGGTACATACAAAGAGGACAACAAAGAAATTAGTGAAATTTTAAGAAGCCAGTATAAGGCTATGTTTAGCACACCAATAAACAACATGAAAGTTGATGACCCAGACAGCTTCTTTATGAATGACATTCAAGCTGCAGATAATATAACAGATATTAACATGAACTCGGAAGACTTTGAAAGAGAAATTGACAACATGCCCATGCACTCAGCTCCTGGGCCTGACTCATGGAATTCAATATTCATAAAGAAATGTAAAGTACCAGTAGCGCGAGCACTCAGCATAATATGGAGAAAGAGCCTGGATACAGAGGAGATACCAGCAGCACTTAAATCTGCAGATATAGCTCCACTGCACAAAGGGGGGGAGTAAGGCCTTGGCATAAAAATATAAACCAGTTGCACTAACATCACAGATAATAAAAGTTTTTGAAGAGTGATTAGGAATCAAATTTCTAGTTTTATGGAAAATAATGAGTTACACAACCCAGGACAACATGGATTTAGAGCGGGAAGATCCTGTATGTCACAGTTACTCAACCACTATGACAAAATCACAGAAGCTCTAGAAGAAAAGCAAAATGCAGATGTAGTATACACAGACAGTATCCACTTGATATAACGGTCTATATGGGGTTGTACCCTGGTCGTTATTTCCAGAGCTCCGGTATTTCCGAAGTTAAGTGTCGGTAATTTTTCGAGTAACATTAAGGTAAGATATATTTTGTACAGACAGCCACTGGATCCACCACTCTAATGCCTTCTACCCTGTGACGTCCCAGATTCACGGCACATTGTTTTGATTTGTCATGAGGCTGGAGTATTCATTCCGTGACTTTGTTGGACATATCTGCACAATCAAGGAACATCCGTGCACTATGTTGGCTCCAAATGCACTCGTTGTGTCAGTGATGGCTGACTGGTGGGTGGATGGGCAGGCAGGCAGGGATGGAGAGGCTGAAATGTAGGCAGGCAGGGAGAGGCTGGGAGGTAGGCAGGGAGGGAGAGGCAAGGGAGGGAGGGAGGGAGGGAGAGGCAAGGGAGGGAGGGAGGCAGGGAGGCAGGCAGGCAGACAGAGGCTGGGAGGTAGGAAGGGAGAGGCAAGGAGGGAGGCAGGCAGGAAGACAGAGCTTGGGAGGGAGGCAGGCAGAGGGTGGGTGGGTGGTAGGCAGGGAGGGAGGGAGGCAGGCAGAGGCTGGGTGGTAGGCAGGGAGGGAGGGAGGCAGGCAGAGGCTGGGTGGTAGGCATGGAGGGAGGGAGGCAGGCAGAGGCTGGGTGGTAGGCAGGGAGGGAGGGAGGCAGGCAGAGGCTGGGTGGTAGGCAGGGAGGGAGGGAGGCAGGCAGAGGCTGGGTGGTAGGCATGGAGGGAGGGAGGCAGGCAGAGGCTGGGTGGTAGGCATGGAGGGAGGGAGGCAGGCAGAGGCTGGGTGGTAGGCAGGGAGGGAGGGAGGCAGGCAGAGGCTGGGTGGTAGGCAGGGAGGGAGGGAGGCAGGCAGAGGCTGGGTGGTAGGCAGGGAGGGAGGGAGGCAGGCAGGCAGGCAGAGGCTGGGTGGCAGGCAGGGAGGGAGGGAGGGAGGCAGGCAGAGGCTGGGTGGTAGGCAGGGAGGGAGGCAGGCAGAGGCTGGGTGGTAGGCAGGGAGGGAGGGAGGGAGGCAGGCAGGCAGAGGCTGGGTGGTAAGCAGGGAGGGAGGGAGGCAGGCAGGCAGAGGCTGGGTGGTAGGCAGGGAGGGAGGGAGGCAGGCAGGCAGAGGCTGGGTGGTAGGCAGGGAGGGAGGGAGGCAGGCAGGCAGAGGCTGGGTGGTAGGCAGGAGGAGGCAAGGAGGGAGGGAGGCAAGCAGAGCTTGGGAGGGAGCCATGAAGAGGCTGGGTGGTAGACAGGGAGGGAGAGGCAAGGAGGAAGGGAGGCAGGCAGAGCTTGGGAGGGAGTCAGGCAGGCAGAGGCTGGGCGGTAGGCAGGGAGGGAGAGGCAAGGAGGGAGGCAGGCATTCAGAGATTGGGAGGGAGGCAAGCAGAGGCTGGGTGGTAGGCAGGGAGAGAAAGGCAAGGAGGGAGAGAGGCAGGCACGGGCTGGATGGTAGGTAGGGAAGGAGAGGCAAGGAAGGTGGGAGGCAGGCAGGCAGGCAGAGGCTGGGTGGTAGGCAGGGAGGGAGAGGATGGAGATGGATGGTAGGATGGAGATGGATGGATGGAGATGGATGGTAGGATGCAGATGGATGGTAGGATGGAAATGGATGGATGGAGGGAGGGATTGATGGATGAATGGATGGATGGATTGATGGAGGGAGGGAAAGAGAGATTGATAGACTTATATATTGGTATATATATAAGTATATCCTGGCGGCACGGCAAGTGGTGACATCATGCTCATTTGCTTGCTTTTCTTTGGGGAGTTCTGTCCACTTGTTTGACTTTCAGTAGTAGTTTCAACCAGAATAGGGGGTTTGTTTTGGGTTGTTTACCTTTCTGGATGGCAGACTCGGTCAATGGCAGACATAGAATGATCCATAACCACACGTGCAATTCTATAGGCCATTGTTCCTTGTGCCTCTCTGAGGAGGCCAAGTTCTGGCTTGTGATTCCGGTAGGCCTAGAACTCCATTCACACTGACTGATGCTAAAGTCTAATATATCCATATTAGCCTGGAGAGCTCCGGGAAGCCGAAAGGGCTCCCCCCAGAAAAAGTATCAAACAATCTATGCAATGTGATGTGATGTAAAAGATGAAAATATTCTACTGGATTTTATGAATATACCTTTTATACCATAACATATACACTTCAATTGGCATGCACTCCATATAATAAGTGTACTGGGGATAATTTTGGTAACTTGACTGTATACAAGTCATATGAGTGAAACTTACTTCTTATGAGTGAAATGATTGTCTGGCAATACCATACTGCTTAGGCATATTTTAGTTACCGGTAATTCTCCCACAATGCCTCTTTGATTTCCTAGATACAGCATTTATAAGTTTACAGTCATTAATACATGATCATTAGAATGACATACAATCAAAGAATGTAGCATGTATACTCACTCACTATGGTATTTGCTCTCAACCAATCAGAATGTAATTTTCACTTAACCTGATATTGCAAAATTTTAGGACTGTTAACAGCCTAAGGTAATCAAGTCAAATGATTCGCAAATCCCCTAAACATCAGAGATAGTTTAGGGGATTTGCAGATTATTCAGCAAAACCTACCATTGACTAAGGGCGCATGTCCTAACTTATTTAAACTTCTATAATTGCTACTGAATAATAAACACTTAGTAAGTGCACAATATTGTTCAAATTCTTCACCACCCCTTAAAAAAACCTGTGGGATGCTGAAATCCTATTTAAATTTGCCCCTAGATTATGATAGTCTTAACAACATGATGTACATCTAAATTTGAACCATTTCTGATTTTTTTTCAAGTAATTTTTTAATATAGTATGGTTAAATCATATCAAACAACTACCTTAATGGTGCCATTGATGAGAACTGTTGCCAGCAACAGCAAGGATAACTCTGCTGCTGTAATGATGGTTCTGACTGCTGTTGCAAGAGAGGCGTCAGGAGCAGGTGTTGCACTAAGGATGAGGGCAGGCACCACCATGGAGAGAGCAGGAGATGATATAACTAGTGGAGGACTGGCTTGAATGCCACAAGAAACCACCAGTGATACTCCTACCACCGCTACCAGCTTCATCACCTATACCAACAAACATTTTATTACTTAGCATCTTCATGTGAATATATCAACACATAAATACAACCAGATTCAATGCTGATTTATTCTAAAAATGTAGTGTTCAATATAATGAAATGCTTCCTTCTGGCGGGTCCAAGGTGGCACCCTGCTGCTAGCTGCTCTGGAGAGTTCCAGGCCTATCAAATTGCAGCAGGCCCTTGCAAGTCATTAAAAGCCTCCCAGAGACCAGAGGCCAAAACCTGGACCCCTCATAGATATAAAGACAGAAAAAGAGACAAGGTCACTCTAACTAAGGAAATAGCCCCCAGAAAGGTAGATACAAAACATCATCAAAATAAAAGAAAACTAACAGGAAATGAGACACCTCACAGTTAGGTTATATGAAACACAGTTGATGTTTCTCTGTCTGGGGCCCTTATCTCCTACCATCATCTTCCATAAGTATGCCCTCTCCACATTTTCTGTTGCTGCTAATCTCAGGTTCCCTATCAGAAAACCTGCACTCCTCTGCCGAGGTGCCGTTGGGAATAAGCTATGATTAGTTACCAAGGGGGTTCACAGAAATCAAGTAACAAATGTAATGAAATGCCCTTTTCTAGTGGGCGCTTGGTAGCTCCCCAATCCTGTCCTGATACACCTACCTCGTAAGATGTTGTGTTCAGTACTGGTGCTTTGTGAGTGAGGTGGGTGGCTGGCTGGGAACCAGAGTGACCAGTGTCACCATATGGTGGTGGTCAGTCACATCGAGATCACTGTTGTTTAAGCTCAATAATGATCCTTTGCAATGGTAGTTTCAACATTTGTTTATGTTTTCCAGTACTGTATTAATCGGTTTTATTTGCCAATTTTACTGGGGAAAGCCCCACATTACTCCCTGTAGCATCTCTGCTACATGAATCTCTGTAGCAGAAAAGACACGCATCTCTGATGCGTGTGTTTATGTGAATTTACTTGAAAGCCACAAACACTAGAGGCATCGACAATGACAGGAAGCCGGCGGCTTATCAAAAGCTCCTCCCCCCCTCTTAACCTGGTGTTATCTACTAGCTGCCATCAGTTGCAGAGTTCTCTTGCCTCCTGGAGACCTAGAGCCAGAACCTGTTCCCCCTCACAGAGGCGTAGGGGGCTATGGCATGGAGCTATGGCACGAGGAGCTCCCTGCTCCTCATGCCTCTTTGAAGGGGCCAGGTTTTTTTTTTTTTTTTTTTTTTTTTTTTTTTGAGATATATACAAGAGTTGTTACATTCTTGTACAGCCACTAGTACGCGTAGCGTTTCGGGCTGGTCCTTAATCCTACGATCCCTGGAATATGATCCCCTGCCACGAAGAATCGTTTTTTCATCCAAGTACACATTTTACTGTTGCATTAAACAGAGGCTACAGTTAAGGAATTGCGCCCAGTAAATCCTCCCCGGCCAGGATACGAACCCATGACATAGCGCTTGCGGATCGCCAGGCGAGTGTCTTACCACTACACCACGGAGACTGTTCTGGCTCGTGGTCACCGGTAGGCCTAAGAACTCCATTCACACTGACTGGTGCCAAAGTCTAATATATCCATATCAGCCTGGATAAGCTCCGGGAAGCCGAAAAGGCTACCCCCAGAAAGACATGAAAAACGATGGGTTATGATGAATTTGTACTTAACTAAACGCGATTCAGGGCTATTATGAAGATATTTCACTATGCTACTCTCACAGTAAGATAAACTACAAACCTTTATGTGCATTACAGTGGAAGAAGACCTTTTGATTATTTTGTTGGGGGGTGGGGGGGTGGGGGGGGCAGAGGATGTCTGGGGTCTGACAGGTTAAACAATATTTCTTATGGAATGATTCGACTTTTCTCCATATAATTGATTCAAGTGATGACACACTGCATAAGCATATTGCCCCACAGAACAAACTCCAGAAGATGGCCTTCACTATTTTTTTTTATATATATATACAAGAGTTTTTACATTCTAGTACAGCCACTAGCATGCATAGTGTTTTTCACAGTTCTTTAATCTTAATTTTTCCCTGAAATACGACACGATAAATCATTTAACAACCAGGTATCCATTCACTGCTGGGTGAACAGAGGCGTACAGTTAAGGATTGGTGCCAAGTCAATTCTCCCCGGTCAGGATACGAACCCAGGCCAAATCGTTCACAAAGCACGGGGCAAGAATGTTACCACTGTGCCATTGGGATTGCTTAGTCCCCAGTGACTGAAGGGACTGGGGACAATCTTTGGAAAGAACTGGAACTTGTCATTGCCCGGTGACTCGAGAAGGTCGGAGTGCTCCGACATCTGTGACAGGACTGACTCGTTGCTAACCCAGAACCGGCTTCCAGGGCACGAACTGTTGGCCCCTTTGTGCATTAGGAATGTTTGAATTAAGTTTCGAATGAACCACTTCAATTTAAGTAAACCCATTGCAGAGTCAGTTGAGTGTTTCAATGCTTTGTTTTATGTGACTCTTGCTGTTGTTTGTATTGCTTAGCTGACTTTCTGGATGTGGGTAATCGTAACATGTGACTCCTTAGACTCATTAGATGGCTCCCGTCTGATGTGACTCATTAGACGGGAGCCATCTCGGCAAGAAAGCATTCAGGGAGCCACCAAGGGGTCCCCCTCCTCAAAATCACTGGGCTAACTGGCCTGGAATTTATTTCAAATGCATTCAAAACTTTAATAACTATAAAAAGCTTAAATATTCACTGGTATGCAGTTCAAGTCTGATTAGGCTCAATAACATTTGCTGACGCTGAAATCTAATTTACAAGACAGATAACCAATCCATTATCAGGGCAACCTGAATCTATTATAAACTTTCCTATACTCTATCTACCAGAAACAAGTGCTGAATATATTTGCATATTATGATGTGATAGGATATGTACCTTTGCTTCTGACAAAAAGAGTGACCTTCCAAGGCACAGGAAGCAGAACAGCTGACACAGAGCAACGAAGGGTCCAAACTGCCAACTCTGCAGGAAAGCCACACTCACCACTAATATAAGTGCCAGCTTAACACTCTGTAGAGAAAAAAAAATTAAAATAAGTTAATGTAAACAAGAACAATAAGTTAAATACCTACATTATCTACATGGATTACATTTAAAGAAGCTTTATTTTATAAGATTTTCAAAGAAGAAAATCAGTTGGAGTAATGAGAGGATTACAACCCTCAACTTGCGTTCTCTCAAGCCGTGCAACTTAACGCTGGGCCACAACATGGTACAAGTTATACTGCCTGGGATTCCACTGAATCCACAGAATATCTGGATACATCAACCTTAGTCCTGTCTTTGTTGATGTTATCTCTTCCCTTTCTCAAGGTAAGGTAAGGTAAGGTTTCACAGTACACACTTATATGTTCTAACCTTCTTAACAGACATGACTTGACTTAAGCTTACCCTTTTCTTTTTCTTATCTTTTCCCATTCATGCCATTCTTACCTTTCACCGTACCCTTCTTCTGAAAATTACCTTCTTCTCTTACCTGCTCCCCACCTTTCTCTTTTCTTTATTAGCACATTCCTTCCTCTCTTCTTACTACAAGGACTGTACCTCAACCACCAAGAAATGTGCAACTGTGGAGAACAGAATGCCACCATCTCCTACCTCTGCACAAAAAAGGAAGGAGGAACTGCAGAAGATTAAAGAGAAGACCACCATTCTGCTGACCACCCAGAGGCAAGTCGCCGCAACCATAGGCTTTGGACCTGGCTAGTTCCCAAGCCTCCTTTCTATAAGCCAGATGCAGACTATGACCGTACCAGTCCTACCAAACAGTAGCTCCTCCCAACAGATCACCCCGGCCTCCACACTGGGAACCTAAGAATCAACCAGCACCCTCACAGTCCCTTGCATCACGTGCAGGCATTATCCCCTGGTCTTATTCGACTAGCGGAGAGGCTTGCCAGACCAGACAATCAACGATTCGTCAAAGAACTCAATGCACTGTACCTAGCCAATGGCCTAGACCCCATCATTGCCCCGGACGCAAGTCTCACTGCCTCCATTACCACTCCAGAGCCTACCATCAGGATGACCACGAGGTCGATCTCAACACAGACTCCAGAACCACCGAAGACCTGGGCGGCACAAATAGAGGTACAGTGGCACCTCGATTAACGAGCGGCTCTATCTACGAGCATTTTGAGTAACGAGCAAGCCACTCACAGCAAATTTGTCTCTATTGACGAGCTTCACCTCTATTAACCTATTAACGAGCAAAACCACATGGTGCTTCCTAGCATCTTGTGGGTTCTCGCAAATTCTCGGACGCCAGTGTTGTTATTGTAATGCGCACGACAAGCATCCCTCTGCATTTACTTGCGCTTTTTTTTGTGGTTTCGTGACTACAATTTGTAACGCACGATGTCGCCAAAGAAGCTGCTTGCTAAAGACAGTGTTGGGAAGGGGAAGAAAGACAATTACCATGGAAGTGAAGAAGGAAATCATAGCAAAGCCCGAGCGTGGTGTCCGTGTGACTGATCTCGTCAGGGAGTTGGGAATGCTTGAAAAGGTGACCGCATTCTTGGAAAAGCATCACCCTGATAAAGCAGTGACAACCCGGTGTGTGAAAATGTTTAATGACAATTTGCTGTCTCATTTTAGGAACATCCTAAAAGAAAGACAAAAGCAATTGTCAATAGATATGTTCTTTGCAAAAGGAGAGAAAAGAAGAGCCAGTGATAGTGAACCACAACCCGGTCCTAGTGGGGTGAAATTCCCAAGAAGAGAGAGCCCGCCTGACTCAGAGGTGGATTCTCCTTCCACACCATAACCCCTCTCCTCCTTCCCACCTCCCCATCGTCTCCCTCAAGCCAGCAGCGACTCTTCATAAGGTAAACATGAAAACAGTACAACAAAATATTTATAATTACATGTGCAGTATTATATTTACAATATAAAATGTCATACAAGTATGGATGTTTTTGGGAGTGGAACGGATTAAATTTATTTCCTTTATTTTAAATGGGGAAATTTGTTTCTTAAGACGAGTTTTCCACATAATGAGCTCGATGCCAGAATGGATTAAACTCATTAATCGAGGTGCCACTGTATTTCCCTCTCCAGCTCCCAACTCTCTCCAGCTTCTAATGCTCTCCAGCTCCCAACATTCCTACCATCACCATCTCAGCAGATGCACTAGCAGACGTGCTGCCTTCAAACACTAACAGCATCACCAATGCTCCTGAAAGAGCTTCTACCACTAATCCCTGACACATGAGCCTACCTCAGGCTGCGAGACGAAAAACAAAACCACCAACTATAGATGCTACGGACTCCTCAGATGAGGAAATCTTAGTAGGAGCTCCACCGCTGCAGCACAAATACGACACCAATTCGATAGAAGACCTCCTCATAGAGGCCACCTCACCAAATTCCAACGACAGCACAGCTCAGTCAATGTCTCACTCAAAGAAAAAAACGGAAGACCTAGACTAACCCGCCAGCTCCATAACTGTTACAGCCAGCCCTCTGAGGTTGAAATCCACCATGAAGACCCTCATCCATCCCCATATCTCCAGTATCAGCTATTGATACATGTACTGTGACGGTAAAGTGTTTACTAGTTGTGTGTTTACTAGTTGTGTTTTTGCGGGGGTTGAGCTTTGCTCTTTCGGCCCGCCTCTCAACTGTCAATCAACTGTTTACTAACTACTTTTTTTTTTTTTTTTTTTCCCCACACCACACACACACCCCAGGAAGCAGCCCGTGACAGCTGACTAACTCCCAGGTACCTATTTACTGCTAGGTAACAGGGGCACTTAGGGTGAAAGAAACTTTGCCCATTTGTTTCTGCCTCGTGCGGGAATCGAACCCGCGCCACAGAATTACGAATCCTGCGCGCTATCCACCAGGCTACGAGGCCCCTACGAGGCCCTGTGATGGTAAAGTGTTGGAGTGTTGATGTTCGGCAGTCCTCCAATGGCAGGTGGCAATGTCTTGTCACACTTACAGAAAAAAAAAGAGACTGCTTGCCTGTTTGTTTGTGGTAAGGTAATGGGAAGACACGCAAAACACAAAATATAAACAATGAAATTTTAATTACTTTAGAAAACAATATATGAACAAAGACAATCCCTTGGCTTACGTAAAATTCAAAACAAGTCAACAAACAAAACAACATGAATAATTAATAGATGTGAAATTTACTCTAAAACAAAATAATGTACAAGACAATAATAATAATCAGGTGGTTAGAATATTGGCTAGAGCTGCCACCTCCCTTAGTACACGACAGCCAGGGCTTAGTCTACCAGAGAGAGATGTCAACTTCTAAGAGCACAAAGATATTCTGAGGAGGACGGCGTGAGCTGGCCCAGACGTCAACTCAGGTAGAGGGCGTGAGTGCAGGTGCAGGTGCTGTCGGCGATACACCAGCCAATCAGGAGCAGGCAGGCAGAGAATGGGTAGTTTGCTCGTTGACGACGGGTGGAGAGCCGGCGTGTCTGGTGGTGCAAGGTACGCTTTGCTTCTTGGGCAAAACGTTTTGTGATACTGGTGGATGTATCTTCAATATAGTATCTTGTACTTGTAGAATGACGTAAATGATATAGGGAAAAGCAGGCTCAATCTCTCTTGAAAGAGATTATCGTCACAATACAGATAATGGCTCCAAAGAGCCTCCACTTACAGGCTCACCATAGTCCATGCTACTTGGAACTTTTTGTTCTGAGTAGCTGAATCTAAAACAACAACTACTACTCTCTTCCTCCCACACAACTTGATAATGGGAAATGTTGTTGTTTCTCTATCTTCTGATGTGTGGTTCGGTCATTTGTACTAATATTTTGGGAGCAGGTTCTCTCTAATACATGTCATTAACCCTTAAACTATGCCACCCATCAATAGCTGCGGTGAGTAACTGTTAAGGAATTGTGCACCACAGTTATTGGTGTGTTGGAGTACCACGCAAGATTTATAAGTCCCGCTGCTAAACAAAGTTCACATCAGCTTCCTCAGGGCTCTTGTAAACAGATGCCAATTTTTAACAAAATTGTGGGCAACATTCCCGGGTGTGTGAGAGCCTCAGTACTGACTGAGCAGCCAAGGCAGGCGCACGCAGCATGAGCTAACAACATTGCTGTTCAGTTTATGACTGCAGCATCACCTAAAAAAAACGGCGTTGAATGTAATGAAACGCCATTTTCTGGGTGAGTCCGGGAGGCTCCCCGAAGCTATCCCAAGCTGATATGCTAGTGTCAGACTTTGGCATCAGTCATGTGTATGGAGTTCTTAGGCCTACCAGGGACCACGGCCAGAACTGGGCCCCCTCAGAGAGGCAAGGGGAGCAATGGCCTATAGAAACCCCCGTGTGGGTGGAAACATTCTATGTCTGCCATTGACTGGATCAGGCACCCAGAAAGGTAAACGCACCAAAACAAACTATATTCTGGTTAAAATTGCTACCAAAAGTTGAACTAGTGGATAGAACGCCCAACAGAAAACAAGCAAACTAGTGTGACATCACACATCGCCGTGCCGCTGTCTGCGCAGCTCCCACCCCCCCTGCGGGAGGGGAAAGGGGGAGCCCCAGACCTCTCACGGCGGCTATCCACCCATCAGTTCTGAGGCTGGATGTCAAAACACGCGAAAATATGCCAACCGGAGGGAGGGAGGGAGGGTTGCCGGGGAGTCTCCGGGTCTCACCCAGAAAATGGCGTTTCATTACATTCAACGCTGGTTTTCTGGGAGGAGCCCCGTCGGCTTCCCGGAGCTAACTGCCCACAGAGGAAGATCAAAGGGACGGAACTCGGAGGCGGACACCATGCACCCCTCAATGGAAGCGAGACAACGGGCAGCAAATGCCAACCCAAGGCGACACAGCCCCGAAAGGGCCCGGGAACAACACGAGACAATGAGCAGCAAGGCCCGTGTACGAACACCAAATGATCCGTGCCTGAATAACAGCAAGGACATGCCGCCCAGACGGCAGCATGAGCAGCGAAGCCACAAACGCCACGGGTATGGGGAAAGAACACAGGCAAACTAGCCGCAATAACATGGCTGACAACCCGGGA